TCCTAGAGTTCATTTGCATTAACCCCAGGGTGGGGGGGGAACTTTTCTAGTAATATCACAGGGGGGCAGCAAATAAATTTAAAGACCTAACATAGCTATGTACATCATTCCACGTTTCTCACATTAGCACATAGTTGGATTGTACCAGCAACAGCTTTTGAGAGCTTTAGCCTAGTTTACATTTCTTTTTTTATTGTGGTATAGGGGGATTTTGTTAAAGGGACACTCCCCCAAGTATCTGTAAGTTTTAACGACTAATGATTTCACCCTGCAAATAGAGGGGGGGGGATGTCGTTTGTTGTTAATATCTTTTTTTAGAGGAAGATATTATGACCTGTCATTACAAATTGCTTAAACTTCATTAAGAATGGATTCTCTTCTTATGCCCTGTTGATGGACATGAATCATCACATGCTTAACTATAGTTTAGGTGAGGCAGGTAGAGCTTTTAGGAGAGCATTAATCAAAATATTAAATGATGGGACTAAAAAACCCCCCCCGGGTGCCCCTAAAGACTTTTCTTTAAACACTTCTGAACCCGGTAAAGGACAGAGGAACCTTTTTGACGGGTATCCTATTATCCAGCAAGAAAGCTACCACCAATATTCATTTTGGCAGATCATGATATAACGGTTCTTTTTTGCAATATCAAATGCAGTTTTTAGATAAAAAAAAAGTGTAAAACTAGTAGAGGTTGTGCTGAGAAAGGGAAATACTTCTGCACCTTTCCCTTTCATAAACCCAAGAGGTAGGGGGAAAGTTGATGTCTAATCGTAGTACAATCTTTAACATCATTCTTTCAAAAGTTTTGCAAAGAAAAACTATTAAGGAGTGGCCTAAATGTATCAGGCTTTGGGGGTTTTGGAAGGCACAAGAACTATTGGTCCGGGAATAAAAAAGCGCCCCAATGTAACGAGATTATACAGTGCCAACAAGGGGTTATCAGGCACGTCCCTTAGGTTTGAGAATATCATAGGTTAAAACCCTCCCTCCGGACAGTTGATCGACCTTTGGTTAATGCTTATTTTAAATTTTCTCGGTAAAGAGCAATCACTCTCTCAATATTTTGGCTCTAAAACTAATCATTTCAACATTTCTTTAAAGTACTCCAATTTTTTTCTAATTGAGATGGAAGGCTTTCATCCTGGAGTTTGGACCAGTCATTTATGGGTCATTTGTTTTTTCAAGAGGAAAGGGTTTAGCAACTTTGCCAGTCTTTTTCTGGCAAATTTTATTTATACATTTCCAAGCCAAACTCAAAGGGGGGACTATTTAATCCCTAAAAAACTGTTCCCTTTTCTGTGCCTAAGTTTTTCCCTTTTCTATTCCTTGCTTTTTGTTAGTCAGCTTGGAACGTTCAAAAGGGTTTGGGGTCACTTTCACGGTATGCTTTACCAAATCCTCCTAGCGCAGGTTTTAAGAACAGATTAAAATTGGTGGCCACTCGATGTATGCACAAGGCTTATTCCTTAAAAAAAGGGAGAAGATTAAAATAAAAAAAGAGACAGGGGGCCCCCTTTACGGGCGAGGGAAAAGAATAACAGAGGGGCTAAAAAGGTCAATATATTGAATGCGTGGGGAGACACTGGTCAAGAAATACAAGCATCGAACTTAAGCTAAAAAAATCTTATAGGGGTAGGAAGCGGGAAAACTAAAAGCCATAAATGAATCGAAAGAAACCCAAAATTTCTTCTCCTATCCAAAATCAAGTCGAGAAAACGTCCAGTATTGGGCCCCAACTTAAAAAAAGAAGGGTCCTACACAATGACAAAAGGGAAATGAGGGAGCACTAACCCAATTGACTCAGTTTTTAGCAAGCCCCAAACCAAGAGGTCGAAGATAAAAATGAATTTTTTATGAGAGACCCGCAGAATTTGGTAAACACAAGCTAATGATTTTCCTGACGCCAAATGACTTGAACAGGCGATAAAAAGAATGCCCATGCACTCTGCCCCCCGGGGGGGACAGGAACCCGTGTTCTCAAGAACTGCAAAACCCCCATCACGACCTTTCCCCTCCCGTGGAGAGGGAGCATGGAAACCCGGGGGGTCGTCCCACAGTTTCAAAAAAAAACAACGCCCCCCTCCCCAAAGGGGGCCAAAGCAACACAAAAAACAAGACCGATAGCACTAACACCCCCCATATAAAAATCTTTGAAAGGGTCCAAGAAACAAATTACCACCCATCAGAAACCCCCTCATTACACAACCCCGGGCAAATGGGTTTAGAAAGGTCGCTCCTGTCTGTCTAAATTTGGTCATACACAAGGTCCTAAAAGCACTAGAAACAAAAAATCAGATGTAAAATTTTACAGATTTGCAAAAGCCTCGACCCAAATGTACCATGGGGTAATAGCGCACAAAATGCGTGTAAAGGAATAACAAAAAAGTCGGGCGATGGTCTATAAATTTCCCCCCTAAAGAAACGAAGTATCGTCAACGGTAAAGTCCCAGGCAGCTACGGTGAAAAGCTCTGTTCCCCAAGGGACAGTACTCGCCCCATCTTTTTCCTCATCCCATGTCCGACATAGAAAAGGGGTGTCAGCCACAGCACCGTTTTCTTCCTTTGCAGATACACCCAATCGCTGACAGTGTCTCCATTGCAACACGCAAGCTCCAGGCGGACATCAAAACCCAAAACTTTCAGTGGGCTGCAGAAAACAATATGAAGTTCAATGAGAGAAATTTAATTACTCAGATATGGTAAACACGAGGAAATTTAAATCTCATCAAGTCAAAACAAATTCTGGCCACAAAATAGAGCAAAACACCAACGTCAAAACCGGGGAGTGACTTTTCAGAGGATCTCACTTAAAGGCCCATAACATTGTATAAATCGCATCTGCTAGAAAAATGACAGAGGTTTGAGAACCTTCAAAACTAGGAGGCCAAGCCCATGTGACACTCTTCAGGGGACTTGTCTTCTAGGGTGGAATATTCTGCACACTAACAGCACCTTTCAAAGGGAGGTGAAATTGCTGACCTAGAAAAGTAAGAGAACCTTCACGGGGGCGCAAACTGAAAAAAACACCCCAATTACTGGGGGGCTTTTTAGGTTTCCCAAACCCGTTTCCCCGGAACGCGTGGGAGAGTACATGATTATATACACCGGAAAACCCAGAGGGCAAGTACCGAACTTGCACACAAAATCACTCACTAGAAAGCAAAGACTTGGCAACATGCAACTTTTCCCCCCCCAATGAAAAGCGGGGGTCACTAGCACGATAAGAACCATACAAAGTTCAGGGCCCGGGACTGTTAAACTGCCTCCCAGCATACAAAAGGGGGGATTCCAACAGACCCCTGGCTCTTCAAGGGGTACTGGCAGCCCCTAAAGCTTTCCCTACCACCCGGGGGCTGTGGCTCGAATTTGGGTTTGCATGCAGCCAGCAGCAACAGCCTGGTTGACATTTGGGTCCACCAGGGGGCCCGGGTCACAGCCCGGGGCCGCGGGGGCGTTGCCCCCCGAACCTCCCCGGGAAAAACTCCGGACCTAAGGGAAATAAGTCACTTTGTCTGATTTTTTTGGGTTATCCCAGGTTCTCTACAATGTGCGCTATGTATATAATCATGACTGTATTGTGTATACCTAATAAATTTTTTACTAGAAAACAAAAGACTCGGCGACGATGCAACACCCCCCCCAATGAAAAGCAGGGTTCACTAGCCGTTAAGAGACAACACAATAATGTGGGGGGCCCGAACTGTTCAACGCCCCCACAACGAAAGGGGGGTTTTCCAACAGACCCCTGGCGTTTAAAACGGCACTGGACAACCCCAAAGTCGTCCCTGACCACCGGCTGTGGCCGTATGTTGGACTGCGTGCAGCCACATAACACCGGTTGACAGGCCATCCCCATGGGGCCGGTCACAGCCCGGGGCCGGGGGGGCGTTGACCCCCCGGAACTCTCTCCAGGTAAACTCCCGGATGAACCCACAGCAGTCGACTAAAACCCAGGGATCTATTTTTGATAGTGAAAAAGGACGAAGGGGTTTAAGCAAACACGCCTAAAGTTTCCCCCCGACAGAAGGCGACCCCCGGGGCCCCAAGTTAGCGGTGGGCTAACAATCGATTAAAGGGGCACCGTTAGGAAAGCGCCATACCCATGGCGGGGAAAAGGGAAGTTGCTTTAGGTTATTTTAGGTTGGGTTAGATGGTTTTCGCTAGGTTTGGTTAGTTTTTTTTTTATCATTTGCACAGCAAAAAATTATTTCAACTGTGAAAATCAGCTTAATATTGTAAAATTCAAAGAATAATTAATGACCAAAATCCTCCGAGCAGTTGTCTACTTTTACTGAAAACAACTGAGTAATTTGTAATACAAAAAGTAACACTTTATTATTTTTAATTATTGGTAATAAAAGTAATGCGTGATTGATTGATTGATTACAATGTGTGTGTGAGTTTAGTGATGTTGAAGGTGATTGGTGAAGTGGAGGTACAGATTTCTTGCTGGACCAATCACAGCATTCCTAAGAAGAGCAGTAGGAAGAAAAAGGTAAACAATGTCTACCATCCCTGTTGTTGTTATTGCTGCTGTTGTTGCAGCTGCTGTTGTTGCTGCTTCTGCTGTTGTTGTTGCTGCTGCATGCAACAATATCCACCTTGCCAGGGGAAGAGGGCGTGTGTTGCAGCATGGAGGCTGAGGAGACACAACTGTTACTGGGTATATATGCCCTGGTTGCCTGGTTCAGCCTCTACCTGTTGATCGCAGGAGTCCTGCGCATGTGGGCGGCCCACCTGCCCTACGCCCACCGCGCCCTCATCACTGAGAGTTGTGTCTCGGGCGTACAGGGTGTTGCCTGTGCCTCAGTGGGCGTGGCTACAGTCATCGCATGCAGGAGGGATGTCATGGGCGAGAAGTTTGCCCCAGCAGTGTACTACGCCTTCATAGGTATGGCCTATTTCGTGTATGATCTGTGGGCCATGTATAGAAGTCACATTGCTAAACTAAGTGAGCCGGAGTATACAGTTGCCGGTGTTGTTTCCTACGTGAAAAAACACCTGCTGATGATAGTGCATCACCTGACCATAGTGATCGTGTTCTTCCCAACCATGGTCTACTATTCCCCCATGGGACACTTCTTCCTTGGGTCCTTCTTTTGTACTGAACTCTCCACCCCGTTTGTCAATGCTCGAGTAATACTCAGTCGATTTGGCTACAAGAACTCCAAGGTCTACGTGGTCAATGGCGTGCTAATGATGATCGTATTTCTAATATGCCGAATTGCTCTTTTCCCAGTCATGTACATTGCATATTTGAGCCAGCAGACTACAGCTTCATCCCACATAGATGCCCTGTTGTCGATACCATTGACTTGCCACTTGTCGTGTCTCCTGGTACTCTTACCTCAGATATATTGGTTTGGCCTAATGGTTAAAGGTGCAGTGATTGTACTGAAAGCAGGTTCATCTGAAGCAGATAAAGATGATTGATATAGGTTGAAGGATAGCATAAGACTGAATCTAGTCAGAATATGTAATACATCAAGAGTTGGTAAGATTGAATTTCTTGATCAGTATCTTATATTGATCTGAAATTTCAGTATTATTGATTTCTTATTAAATCACCTGTGCATATATTAATAAATGTAGAAGACCTTTGTAAAACTTGTGAAAAATAAGGATGTACTCAGGTTAAATTTTTTTAGGAAGCTTTAGAATTTTATACTGTTTACTAATATGTCTTAAAAACTAGTTAATATTTTCTTCATTCATGTAAATTTATTAAATTATAGTTTTCTTTTAAAATTATAATGATGACCCACATAAGTTTAACATTTAAAATAAATATTATAATAATGATTTTGACAATGGAAACAAAGCAACTTGAATCAAGTGCATTTCTTCATAACTACTAATACAGTAGTGAAAATTATTATGGGATATGATTTGTTTCTTTTTTTTGTTTATGGTTTGAACTAATTATTGAAGGTATCTCCATAGATAAATTTGAGTAGGTAATAATAATGTTTAATATACAAAAAACTGCATCAGTTTCATTGATGCAATGTACGAATTAAATGAAACCGGCTATGCTGATCTTAAAATTAACTTCGTAAGTTAAGCAGTCAGTTATTCCATAACATATTAGTTGGTAGCAGTAGAATCGATGATTTTACCCTGAACTTTTGTACTGTATAATAACAGGTTGATATACAAAGTTAACTAACCTTTCAACATCTGTCTTGGCTATTAGAAAAATTCTTAGTATTAGCAGTTTCATTGTAATTTGAATGCTGTATTCAAATATTTTTTATTTTACTTAACATGATATTTTGTGTGTTACCTTTGATATACTTTTGATGAGTTTCGAGAGTCTTTCTACTCCCGGAGCCTGGCCATGGGCCAGGCTCGTCTGGTGCTACCCTGGTCAACCAGGCTGTTGTGTTTAGGTTTTTTTATTTCTCTTGACTTACGTTATTATTGGTTACGTATCACAAGTTACTTCAGCAATTTTATATATGCTTCTTAGTTCATGGGTATTTTATAATTGATTAATAGACTGATTTCATCAGGTGTAGACAGTGTATATCATTAATGTTCATTCAACTTCTACTGTATGATATTCAAGTAATATTATCCATTAACAACCAGAATTCTGTAAAAATGATCGAGGAAGAGAATCTTTTGGCTAAAAAAATCCATTCATGAATACACATGTACATATTGTATGGTATAAATAATACTTAGATTCATATTTCCATGTTATGTACAGTTAGTTTTAGTTCAATATCTTTATTATGTATCCCATACCTATCCTGTGGGCAGTAGTCAAAAAGATTACAGAGGCACCTAATGGATCCAGGAACTGGGCTGCAAAGTTTTGATAGCTAAACAAGTTACAGTGGTAATGAACTATGTATTTGTTTTTTTTTCAACAAACCAACTGTATCCCATCAAGGAATGAACTACAGGTCTCCCTCCACATTCACGAGTTCCACTTTTGCGGGCTTCGAACATTCGCAAATGCCCAGCCGCCCAATCATATTTAAAATATGTCATGACATATGTTAGGAATTGTGGCGGCGGCAGAGTTTGTTCGAGGCAGTACAAGATAGTCCTTCAGTATGACACTATTGTCAACTCTGTGGCTGATTTATCTATCATAGTTGATCTAATATGACATAATAAACAATATTAATAACAGTAATAACAAGTATTAATAACAATAATAACCACTCGTTATTAATATTAATAACAGTATTAATAACGAGTGGTGGTGGTGTTGTTGGGTGTATAAGGGCCACTGAGAGCATAAGCCGTACATAGTGGTGGTGAAGGCCAGCAGAGGCGGTGGTGTTCTCAGTAGCCTTATATTCCTCCAACATCATTGGAGGAGTTAGGTTCATGCTGTCCTTTTTCTGTCGATTAATTACTTATTTGCTACAATGTTAATGCTACCCTTTATTGCTGGCTGGTGCTATAAACTTTATCGACTCGTGCTGCTTTAGTATCATGCATATCATAGAATCACTGAAGAAGGCACATTCTCCCCTCTCTTTTCCTCCTCCACTTTGGTACTCTGCTATGAGTTCTTTCTTGAATTCTATAGTCTTTCTCACCCTCTTTACCAAAGGGCTGGCACTGGTACAATATTTTATGAGGTTTTCATGTGTTTTATGATTGTTCATGGTTCAATAGGTTAAGGAAGCAGTATTGTTAAGCTAAGTAAATGCTATTATTATTTTTCCCTGCAATATATTTGTGCACCAAACATTTGCGATTTTTCAACATTCATGAGGTTCTTGATCCCTTAACCCTCGCGAATGTGGAGGGAGACCTGTATTTACATATATCCAGTTACAATCATAAGTTATTTATGCAGACATGAATTAGGTTGTAAAAATATTATCCAATATTTTAGTAAGGTGTACTTGAATTTAAGCAAGTTCAAGTAGTTTTGCATTATTGACAAAGTTAGGGTATTTTTCCAGAATGGTTGGTAATATGCTAGTGTGGAAAAAGTAGACATTTCTTGAGCATTTCTGAGTGAGCTGTCTCTGAATTCATTAATTTTATCGCATTCTAGCACACGACACAAGGCATGACAATTGTCCATATGGTAAAGTTTATGTTTAGTTGGGTCTACATTGGCTGGTGGTACTGATGCTACCTCCCAGAATACTGGTAACCCAGCATATTCTAAGGTACTTCACTTTTGTTGAACCTATAAGAATTGTTTTTGATTTTAGTTGTTAATTTTTTATTGAAATTTTACTTTATATTGGAATAGTTTTGTGTGACATTCGTGGATTTTAATAACTGAAAAATATTTTTTTTATTTGATAAAGGCCCACTGCAAGATAAACCACCTAAAGTGATGAAATTGTATAGATTGGTAGCATTCTTGAGAATATAAGCTCTTCATTGTGAGAGTATTTTAAGATTTCATTTAAAATCAGATTGGGCAAAAAAATTTTTTATGAGATCTGTCCTGTTATACCCTGTTTAAAGCTGAAAGTTTAGTTAGAGACCATTATTGTACATTTTCACATAATTCGTGATCTTGGATGCATAATGAAGAATTCAGTGTTGCCAGTAGTTTAGACATACTGTGTAACATGCAGTAAATAAATGCAGAACAAAAATGAAACCTCACATTTTTTATACTGATATGAAGTTCAAAATGTAAGGTGATATGTGTGCCAAATATTTAATTATGAAAATATTATTTGATCTCTTTAAAAACAATTATTTTAAAATTTTATCATCTACTGATGGCACCAAACTTCGTTTTGCACCTGTTTCTCTGCAGTGTCTTGTTGCAGCATAGTGCATTGAGTTAGTGTGCATTTGTATGAGGCTAATTTTAGGGTGCACAACTTTCAGGAGCCAATGAATTTACTGAGTTGAACATAAAAGCAGGCTTTAGTATTGAATCAGGTAATTATTAATGATTTTGTTTTAAATTACTGTACAGTACAGTAATTTTCATGGTAGTTTAAAAACGTTGTGCAGTATATGGTGATTGTGATTACCAGTTGATGTGGTTTTCAGAATTTATTGTGCCTTAGTGTTGCAAATACAGGTAGCAGATGGACTTTACATATCTGCATAAACGTTTGTTGTTGTTATAAGATTTGCTGTTGAAGTTCAAATGGTACGAATCGTGCCATCATTTAGCCAAATTTGGATGTGTAAATTTAATAGATTGCTAGTACCTAATTACTTTGTAAAGTGATCCAAGCCAAATCCTATTGCTTTTTAACATTATATAGATGGCTGTATTTTTGAGTGTCATGCAGATATGCTCAGTAGTATGTAATTTTGACTGATAATGTGTGTAACTAGTCTTAAAATGTACATAACTGCAGTCTCTAAAAATATATGTTATAGTGATCTTATTGGGTTGCTGGTTGAATGAAGAAAAGTACATACTGGGTATGTATTTAGGATCTCAAAATGAGTGCCATTTATAAACTAGATTTGTACTGTTACTGTATAGCCCTAATTTCAGGTATTGGCTGCATTTGTTTGTTGCCTATATTTTAAATACCCTACTGCCAGTGAATTATAATTTTTTATGCAATGCTATTTTACATTTTCATTTCAATAATTCCAAGTCTTGGATGTTATTTTAAAACCCAAAATATTTGACTGGGCTCAGTCCATTATGTAATATTTCTGCTTAAAATGTTAAAGGTGATGAGCATAATAAATTAACAATATTTCACTAGGCAAGTCAGAAATTATAATATAGAATGTTCTACTTATGTCTTAGTTTTATATACAGTATCCTGTAAAAAAAAACTGGTAAAATTTTTTTAATACAGTAGGGCCCCACTCATACGGCAGGTTAGGTTCCATGCTACTGCTGGAAAGCAGACATCGCCGGAAAGCAGAACGCCATTTTTTCCCACTTATAAATGCATATAAATGCCAGATAACAAGTTTACACTAACATATATTAGTTAGCAATAGAACTAGGCATTAAAAACAATAAAAAGTATAATACACACACACACTACACCCATTACTTACCTTAAAATATTTGTAGTCCTAATGTAGGGTGAGAGGTGAGTTTCATTGGTAGGAAGTCAGGTTTGGGAGGTATGGTAGCCAGCCAGGTCAGCCCACCCCATCCCACCCACATGTAATGTACTACGACATTTAATTAAAGCTCCCCAGAGCAATAAAATACATATACAGTACATTCAATAATTAGTACCTTCAAATATTTGTAGTCCTAATGTAGAGTGAGAGGTGAGTTTTAATTGTAGGAAGTCAGGATTGAAAAGTATGGTAGCCAGTCATGGCATCCCTCCCCGCCCCACGCCATCCACACATAATGTAAACAAACCAGGCGAACATGTCTCGTGTTCGTTCATACATGTTTGTATTATACCATAATACAAACACTTTACATTGTGTACAAGTTGTCTCCACGTTGATATAGTAGAATAAATAAAGACCAAGACTTTCATTCTCATGTAATTTTTAGAAGGAATGATGCTCTGACAAATTATTATTATTATTACAAATTATTATTACAACTTATTATTAGTACAAGTAATTATTATTATATTCATAATAAGAAAGCACTAAACCCACAAGGAGCATGAATAGCTATAGATAGAGTGAAGGTATATGAAAGGAATAAATTTCTAGTTAAGTTGCTGGTGTTTGACTAAAGAAAACATAATTCTTTGACTCTCCTACCAAACGCTTGGTAAACAAATCTCATATTTATGTCAGTTTTTATACTGTGGGTGTATGTATCATGTTTATGTGTTATGTAGCGTGTTTATTATATAATTCTGAAAAAATATCATAGATGGATTAATGGAAATGTCTATACGTATTTATATAATATACAACATTTAATGCGCCCACGAGATTATATGGCATCGAGTAGAGAGACTCTCAGTGATTTTAATGTGTACCTGCATGCCAGCACAGTGTGTAAGTATATTTAGGTACAGGTACACATAAGTATGATTATCAGAGTACATATAAAATATGCAATAACTTTAAAACACTTGAAATTTTGGAAAATTTCCTGACATAATAGAGAGTTGTGGTCATGGAGAATGTAAACAAACTGGGTGGGGCACACTGTATTTGAAAGACCGTTCGCCATGTAGCAAATTTTGGTCATAATTTGAAATCTCCGTATTAGCAGAACGCTGTAAAGCAGGGCCCTACTGTATATAAATCCAGCAGCTGAAGTTGTTAATAACAAGCCTTTCTTCATTTTCTGTGATATACAAATTTCAGATGTTCAAGATGGTTTTTGTAAAATAAAGCAAATGTAACTTGTAAGTGTAAGCCTAATGAAGATTTAGTTTTGTAGAACTATTTGGTATACTGACATTTGTGGCCAAGTGTCTAGTCTGTTATACTAAAAGGAAGTGTCATAGCAATTAGTAATTGTTTTATTATCCAACTTGCTAATTTTTGCAAATATCTTTGAAAAGGTAAATTATTATTATAATAAAAAAAAGTGCTAAACATACAAGGGTCATACAACTTGAAAAGGCAAAATGATTTGTTTCAAAAAATGCAGTATTGTAGAGTACATCCTTGTACAATCATCAAACCACTAGAATTAATTATTTGTTATGTTTATTAGTTTTATTACTACTACAGTACACCAATGGTTCCAAGTCTTCTGACGGCGTTGGATTTGCAGCAGTGTTTCCGGACAGCGTCGTGCAAGGGCATTTATTATCCCCGGCTAGCATTTTTACGACAATTGTATGCCATTCTCGTAGCACTTGTCCGCATTGCATCTATGCCCGTGTCACTATTTGTGGTCAGTTCAGACTCCCTTAGTGCTTTACAGGTTATACAAAAATTTGATATGCCTCATCCCCTGGTTCTTCATATCCAACTTGGTTACGCTGTATCTCTTGCAAGCACAAAGATATTCTTTTTTGTTGGGTCTCCAGTCATGTTGACATACAGGGCAATGAACAGGCAGACACTGCTGCACGGTCAGCAGTACATGACCTCCCAGTTTCATATAGAGGTGTTTCATTTACTGACTATTTTGCTGTAATTGCTACCCACCTTCGCACCCATTGGCAACAACGTTGGTCTGACCTGCTTCGTAATGAACTACGTTCTGTTAATCCGAGTATAGGTTACTGGCCGTCTTCTTGTCATCAGTGTCGAGGTTGGGAGACTACTCTCTCTCGTCTTCGCATTGGCCACACTTATCTTACTCACAGGTATCTCATGGAGAGGCGCCCTGTTCCATTTTGTGAGAATTGTCAGGTTCCAGTTTCTGTTAGCCACATTCTGTTGGACTGCCCACTCTATCAACGAGCACGCAGAATTTACCTCTAATGTCATGACCGCTCTACTGCCCTTACTTTACTTTCCCTTCTTGCTGATGGACCCTCCTTTAACCCAGACTCATTGACTTTGACAACAACTGATTTACTGCACAAACTGATGATGATGACACCTCTAGTACTCCTCACAGCCCTTTCTACTTCAAACTCTTGCTACCCTCTACCCCTGCACTATCCACTGCCCTGCTGCACTCCATGACATAATCATCCCTCTCCCTGTTGCTACCCAATACCCCTGCATCCTTCCCTGCCTGGCAGTGCTGTATGACCCTTGTAGGTTTAGCACTTCTTTTTTGATTACAGTGGTCCCTCAATAATCGTCCGGCCTGAAAGTCGTCCATTTCGGAAATAGTCCTGTTTTTTCGTCTAAATATTGGCTCGCTAATGGTCCAGTGACTCGCTAATAGTCCTTCGTCCCGGACAAGTACTCACGCTCTGAGCCACCTCGGCCTTTCCTTCCGAGCCAGTGTGCCATTGTTTACCAGTGAGCGACAGTCCCCTCACGTGCTCCAGCAAAATATTTCATATTCCATTTATTTTAGTGCTTGCAAGTTATTTAAGTGCTAAATAAGCTACCATGGCTCCAAAGAAAGCTCCTAGTGCCAAGCCTTTGGTAAAGAAGGTGAGAAATACGATTGAATTTAAGAAAAACATCATTGAACAATATGATAGTGGCGTACGTGTGGGCGAACTGGCCAGGATGTATAACAAATCTCGTACAACCATATCTTCCATCATAGCCAAGAAAGAGGAAATCAAGGACGCTGTTTTTGCAAAGGGGGTAAATATGCTGACAAAAATGAGATCACCAGTACTCGAAGATGTTGAGAAGTTATTATTGGTGTGGATAAATGAGAAACAATTAGCAGGAGATAGTCTTATGACGTCGCTTATTTGTGAAAAGGCTAGGCAGTTGCATGACGATTTGGTAAAGAAACTGCCTGCAACTAGTGGTGATGTGAGTGAATTTAAGGCCAGCAAAGGCTGGTTTGAGAGATTTAAGAAGCGTACTGGCATACACAGTGTGGTAAGGCATGGTGAGGCTGCCAGTTCGGACCACAAGGCGGCTGAAGAATATGTGCATGAATTCAAGGAGTACATAAACAGTGAAGGACTGAAACCTGAACAAGTGTTCAATTGTGATGAAACAGGCCTCTTTTGGAAGAAAATGCCAAAGAGGACCTACATTACTCAGGAAGAAAAGGCGCTGCCAGGACACAAGCCTATGAAAGACAGGCTGATGCTAATGTTCTGTGCTAATGCTAGTGGGGATTTCAAAGTGAAGCCGTTACTAGTATACCATTCTGAAAATCCCAGAGTGTTCAAGAAAAACAATGTTATGAAGAGTAAATTGTGTGTGTTTTGGAGATCTAATAATAAAGCATGGGTCACAAGGGACATTTTCGTCGAGTGGTTCAATGAAGTGTTTGGCCCTAGTGTGAAGAATTACCTCTTGGAAAAGAAATTGGATCTCAAGTGCCTCCTAGTAATGGACAATGCACCTGCTCATCCTCCAAACTTGGCTGACCTAATTCTGAAGGAGTTTGGGTTCATCACAGTAAAGCTCTTGCCCCCGAATACCACTCCTCTCCTCCAGCCCATGGACCAGCAGGTCATTGCAAACTTTAAAAAACTCTACACCAAAGCAATGTTTGAAAGGTGCTTGAATGTGACCTCAGACACTCACTTGACCCTACGAGATTTTTGGAAAGAACACTTCAGTATTCTCCATTGCGTAAGCCTTATAGGTAAGGCTTGGGAGGGAGTGACTACCAGGACTTTGAACTCTGCTTGGAGAAAATTGTGGCCAGATTGTGTCCACAAGAGGGATTTTGAAGGGTTTGGGGCTGACCCTGATGAGTCTATGTCAGTTGTTAAATCCATTGTGGCACTGGGGAGTTCCATGGGGTTGGATGTGAGTTTGGAGGATGTGGAAGAGTTGGTGGAGGACCACAGCGAAGAGCTAACCACTGAGGAGCTGCAAGAGCTTCAGCAGGAAGAGCAACAGATTGCAGTTCAGAATCTTGCTGTAGAGGAGGAGGAAGAGAGATGGAGGAAGGTGCCTTCTTCAGAAATTAAGGAGATTTTTGAAATGTGGGGTAGGATGGAAAGATTTATGGAGAAACATCACCCAGAGAAGGATGTTGCAAGCCATATCGGGAACTTGTACAGTGACAGAGTCTTGGCCCATTTTAGGGAAGTTTAAAGAGACGCCAGAAACAGAGCTCTCTGGACAGTTTTTTTGCGAGACAGGACTCCAGTGACTCAAGGTGGTCCTAGTGGCATTAAGAAACAGAGAAGAGAAGTAACCCCAGAAAAGCAATTGGTACCCGAGGTGTTGATGGAAGGGGATTCCCCTTCCAAACAGTAAATCATCCAATCTGTCTCCTTCTCCAGTCTTCCATACATGAAGAAGAATCACCAATAAAGGTAAGTGTTATTCTCTTAATGTTTAATTCATCATGTGCCACAGTATTGTTTATGTACTACATCTATATTTCATGTAAAAAAATTTTTTGTTTTAATACTTCTGGGTGTCAAGAAAGGATTAATTAAATTTACATTATTTCTTATGGGGAAAATTGATTCGTAAATCATTCATTTCAATGATAGTCCCACTTCCAGGAACGGTTTATGGACGATAATTGAGGGACCACTGTATAATAATAATATTACTACTACAGGTTGGCCATCACTAATCAGGCAATCAGTAATATGGTTCCATCAGTAATCCAGCCCTAGCCATGGTTCCAATGAATAAAAGAAATGCTGCTCGTAGTGTAAAGCACACACTGCCCGCCCTTTCTTTTGTCTGCCGAGGTACCTCGGTAGATGTGAAGTTGCTATCCCGGAGCACTGGTTTACTGGTGTGAACGGGAGGGTATGGCATGGGTTCCACACTGCATCTGCACTGCTTGTGGGCTCGAGACTCTCTCCGATGAGGGGAAGAACTTATGACCCTTCCATGCTTTCTAGTGACTGTCCCTCCACTGTCCCCCCCTCTTCAAGGGGGGCTCCTTGGCATGGTGAAGAGGCTCTTGGTCTGAGGAATTAGACCTGTTGGTCTCCTTCCTCAGACCGAGCCTAATTACCCCCCAATCCCCCCTTCCCTATCCCATCCTCCCCATGCTCCCTTTTTCCTTTCCTCCTCCTCCTCCCCCTCCCCGTCCCTTCCTTATTCCCTTCCTCTTTTTGGCCTTTGGGATTCTTTCTACAGGCACGCTAGTTCCTAGGTAGGGGAAAGGGTACTGGGGTCCATCCCATTCCGTTGAGGTTCTTGGCGGTGGTGTAGTTTGCCGTGGAATCTGGATCAGCTGGGGATGTCCCGATCTGTCTCCGTTCTCCTGGGGGGGGGGTGGCTTTGGGTGTCTTTTGGGTGACGGGTGTATCTCTGGAGGCCGCCTTTTGGATTCTGGGGGTGGTGGCCAAAGAAGGTATGCTTTGTGGTGGATATCCGGCCGCCCTCACTTTTGTCCACCAAGGTAGCTCGACAGATGTGAGGTTGCTATCCCGGACTGCTGGTTTACTGGCATGAAGGGTAGGGTATGGCACGGGTTCTATGCTGCATCTGCGCTACTTGAGGTGCTGAGGTCCTCTTGGGTGTGGAGGGAGATTTCCGGCCCTTTCATTCCTCCTAGGAACTATTCCTCCCCGTTGTTGACGTGTACTTGGCTCTGTGAAGACCTGTTTGCGCGCTCTCTAGAATTGAAGCAAGATGCCCTCCATCGAGCAACTTTACCAACAGCTTAAGGAAGAATTGAGGTTGGCGAATTTGGAAATTCGGCGATTGACCGAGGAGAACAAGAAGATTCGTAGTAGTCCTCCTGTTTTGAGTCCTCAGGTCAAGAAGGGAAACTGGTCAGTGGCTGGACAGCAGGGAAAGAAGTTGACGATCAAGAAGACGAATGGAAAGGTAGAAACGATGAAGAAGAAAGAGACTGCCGTGGAAACTGTTGTGGAAACATCCAATACATTCTCAGTGCTACCCGACGGAATGTGAGTTGACTACTGGGAACGACACGCGAAAGACATTAAGGAAGGAAAGAATATTGTTGTTGTTGGGGTAG